AATAAACATAACGATATAATATATATTATATATAATAACTTATGTTATTGATTTATAATTTACATTTATATATTATCAATTTTTATTATATGGGATTACATAGGATAAGATAAAATAGAATATGATAAGAACAGGTTCATTTACACATGTATCCTATTTGACATTGATACGGAATTGTAGTTATTTTTGTACCTCGATAATATGCAATTCGTTATCGCATAGGTAGTAGTCGTACGTAGATAGTAGTCGTAGTAAGTGCTCGAAATATCTTAGGCCAAACGCGAATTTCCATTCGTCATATCGTCATATTACTCGTTTTCCAAGTCCCAAGAATATACTTACGTAGTTCCGGATATAGATAGCTTAACCAAATCAAGTATACTCCTTCTCATAAGAAATTATTTTCGCACAAAAATGGCTAGAACTTAGATATAACGTTCATTTTTTCCACTTCTTGCATTCTCCATTTATCACCGAAGTGAAATTTAAATATTATCAAATATTCTCTGCAGTTATATTTATATATTATAAACCTTGTCAAGATAACTATATACGATTATTTGTATAATTATATCCTATAATTATATAGCATAGAATATAGTTATATGGTATAGTTATTTTTTATTACAATAGAGACTTCTGTATTCCAATTAATAAGGAGACAAAAGTGATTGGATACTGATATAGTTATATGGTATAGTTATTTCTATAATTATATGTGGAAAATATTTTACACAACTATAATTTCGTTATAGTTATTTTTTATTACGATAGAGACTTCTGTATCCTAATTAATAAGGAGACAAAAGTGATTGGATACTGATATAGTTATATGGTATAGTTATTTCTATAATTATATGTGGAAAATATTTTCTACAATCATAATTTCGTTATAGTTACTTTTTACTACAATAGAGACTTCTGTATCCTAATTAATAAGGAGACAAAAGTGACTGGATATTGGAATATTTACTCACTTCCTTTTGCATTAAACTTCAGGTTTTCAAGTAGACATCAACAAAGTTAACAGGCTTTTTCAATACTTAAGTATTTTATATCATTTTAGCTGAATCTGTACTAAGTTAATCTTCGGACAACTATAATTTCGTTAAAAAATATCGTAGAACCATATTTATGGGATCAATATAAAAGGCAAATCCTGAATCTTCACACCCCTAGATTAAATTTCTATTTAGATATTTTTGTAGTAGAAAACAAAGACGGTTTTTCACTTATAAAATTGTAAGAATTCAAATTCTAGTAATTTCCATAACAAATTATTTTCGGGGTCCAAATCGCTACGAATCGGACCATTCGAATCTTCAATTTGTAATAATCCCATAAAATACCATTATTACACGCTTTTTCGTTCCCACGTGATTTCTCTTCGTAGTAAATGGTTTTCGAGAAAAACCAAAAAATGTTTAAAATTTTTTAAAATTGGCATATTAGAAGCATTAAACGTCGTCTTACTTTTAATCTTATTCTACATAATCGAGAGTCTCTAAGACGTAAATCTATGAAACAGACCATAGAATTATTGATTTCTGAGATTTCAATAACATATAACTTAGAACACTAGCTATTCTAGTTATACTAGTTATATAGTTATACTAGCCCTTTGCACTCGACGATTTTTTGGCTAAAGAAGGGTACGAGTTGAAAAATTTTCTGCCATAAGGCTGATGATATTTTTTGAACAGTAACTAAGAAATCGCATAGTAATCAACACGTAGAATTATTTAATTGCGATATCTCGCACATTGTTACATTATTTTAATCCTCTATGGGCCCCTGTAACTTTCAAGTTACATGCTAATATATGGGTATTTTATTAAATACTGCATTCAACGTTGTCGTCTTCATCACTCTAATTCACGATTTTTCTTTCCATATATTTATAATTATTTTTACAATACCTCCCGTGCATCCATTTTTAAAAATTCTAATTCTTTTTCATTTACCGGTTATTCGATCATGATAGGTTAGGTCCTCTATGGCCCCTATGACCTTTTTCCCACAAGATGGCGTGGGAAATTATCTTGTCTATCTATTGCACATTATCTTGGCACAATAGTACAAACGTTGTTAATTCAAACTTTCAATATGAATTCGTTATAACAAAATTGTCAAAACTGCTGAATTTATCGATTGATATTTGTTGATTTTACGTTACATACAATTCTTATAGTCAAGAAAAATATATATTCGGTCCATAGAAGGTTAAATTTGATATATTAATTAATATCGAGCTTCGAAATTTTATCAAATGACGACTGAAAGACGACTCTCGAGTGCAAAGGGCTAGTATATACTATTGATATACATTGTATACTAGTATACTAGTACTCGTATACTCTGACTTGGTCAACTCTGTCTTGAACTCTGTCTATTCTAGATTGACTAGATTTACATAGGTAAAAAGACACATATAAATTTGCAAAAATAAATAATTCGAGTTATTTGCAAGAATTATTTCAATATATAGAGAAAATGAATATAATATACGTTTTTTAAAAATTTTCGAGATAAAGAGGTCAAAACAATCGTGATTTGGCTGTATTTCTAAATATAAACCTGTATTCAATTAAAAGATTAAAATAATTAAGTAGTTTTCTGTTTTTAAAATTTAAAGAAAGAAATAAGAAAAAAAAAATAATTTTTTAAGGTTTCATAGTGAAAGATTACTATATAATCTACAGTATACTTGTTCTAAATTAGCCTCGTTACTAATCACTCGTGTGCTGTTGATAATATTTTTATCTCTAGATGAAAATGCAAAATAAATAAAATAAAGATGCAAAAGAAACCTTTTCTTATTCGAAACTTGATTTTAAAAAGAAAATTCAAATTTGAAAAAATGACACTTTATATTTATGGTACATAATATTATGAATCAGGGTCTTCTTCGATTTCATTTACAGAAAATTAATTTTCGTATTAATTGCATATTATAAACACGGAATTTTCGTTTTATAGTTGTCCGATTGACCAATTAGAAATATTAACCTTTTGCACTCGAGAGGCCCCCTTCAGTCGCAATTTGATAAAATTTCGAAGATCGATATTAATTAATAAATTTAAGATAATGGAACGGTGTACGAGGTATCGAAATCAAATAATTCTACGTATTAATTATTTCTATAATAATATATATATATAATTATTTATTTGTTTCTATTAATTTTTCTATAATTTTTTATTTATTTCTATAATTATTCAACTCTTACTTTTCTTTCGCCAAAAAATCATCGAGTGCAAAGGGTTAAGTATTAAAAATTCAGAATATAAAATGTGAAATAGAGAAAGTTAAATATAAACGAAAATGTAAAATGTGAAACGTGTAACATTGTGGTGAAAAATATTTCAAAAATCCGATTACTTTCGTTATTTTATCTCAATTTCATTCGAAAACTAACTCAGAGACACGAATACGGGTATTTAACCACCTCTATTTGATTTTCGCCATGCCAATTCCCTCCGTGTGTATTTTCACTTAGCGAATACGATAACATTTGCAAAGTCAGCGTAGTAAAGACTATAGTTAAATACAGTTGAACACATAAATTTGCAATCGATTTTCTCAAAAGCTCAAAGGAATTCTATTCGACATTTTTTATTCAGTCGTTTATGTAGATTTATTGCAAATTATACTATAACTTAACAAAGTTCTAACCTTTATAATAAATTATAATAAACTATAATTTTCTATATTTTCCCAAGGGATCGAAGCTGCTATAGTTTTATAAATCCACCTCGTTTTATCTCTAGACAATAATAAATTAAATTAAAATTAAAATTAAATAATTTAATAATAAAAATTAAATAATAAATTCGAATATACAAAATTTTTATGGAGATTTTATATTAAATTATATTAAATAATTAATTATTATATATGATAAAAATACAGTATTAATTAGTATACGTAATAAATATTAATTGTATTTATTGATTGCTATATCAATCACTATATGTGTAACTACGTGATTATATGAGCAGAAGAATTCCGAACAGAACTGAATTAAACGGTGAATTAAATGACAAAATTTCAATTGAAAATACTATACTATACTATTAAATATGGATTAAAAAATCAATTATTACAAAGATACAAACTCTATCCAACGAATCGATTCTTCGCTACTTTGTCAAAAATAATTTTATTTTATCACAATATATGAGCCGTTCTCTGCACAAATTGATTAACTCCATAAAACAAAAAGTAGAGAAATGCAATGAAATAACGTATATTGTTTTTTAATTCACCGTTCTCATTCATGGCTTGCTAGTGCATTCGAGTTGCATTATTGCAACGATTTACATTATAGTACGGAGTTAATCAAAGTGATCTCTGAAATAAATTATTTATTATTGAGTGGCCAACAAATTTTTGTCGTTTAACGGTGTTAATCTTAATTATCAGGAAAAGTTATTATAAATATAAAAGTTATGACTATACCAAGTGCTTCGACACTTAAATTTAAGATTTTTCAAAAAGTGGAGTTAATCGATTTGAGCAGTGGATATATTACGTGTATATTAAGTAGGTCTATTTTTCAAATAACTGCAAGAAGGAAACACCTGAAACCACTCGTTTCCACAACTTTGCTAACCTCAATAACAAATCTACGAATATTCCACACTGCAAAGCTTTAACCCCTCTTGAACCCCAACTTTCAGAGAAGTATCTTCAAATACCAGCACCTAGTATCTTTAAATACTCGAGACGAGGTGGTGATCAAGGAGCTGAAATCGATGGTAGATTTCGCGTTGTGGACGTCTCTCCAGGACGAAAGGGTGTCTTTGGCTCCATTGGAAGCCGTTGCGAAGCACTTGGAGGACTCGATATTCGAGGGTTCGGCGAGGAAGAAGTCGGAAAAGTCGATCGAGGAGGTATCGAGATACCAAAATGATCGGAAGCATTGGGCAGAGACTGTTCTGGCCGTGGTGTCTCCACTGCTGTACAAAGTAGCGCCTCCGGTCTGTCTGACGAGGGTGATCGTGAAGCTGGTTCAGAATCCACAGTCGTCCTTGGTCACATCCATAAGCCCGGCCATCACCAGGTGCCTGAAGCACACCGTGGACTTCGGCAAGACTCTGGACATGAGGAAACTGTTGCAAGTGTTCATTGCTGCTCTGTGCACGATGCATGGCGAGCAGACGATCAGAGATTACATAGCCTCGGTTCATGGGCCTGGGAGCGACTGTCCTCATCCTAGGGTGCTTCCTAACCTAATCTCCGTCTGCGTCGCTGCAATTTTTCATAGGTGAGTAATGATAGTAAATATTAATATTGTAGGAATGTTGGGTAGGCTACATAATAAGCAGTGACGTAAATATAAAAATGATTTATATTAAACTAAAACTTATTCTACTCGCTAATAACTCTCAGCTGACTCTCACTCGCTATCTCTCAAAAACTCTATGACTGACTTTAAAACACTCTGACACACTCTGATACTCTCTGATACACTCTGACTCTTCCGCGTCCTTGCACTCTTATTCAAACCCTTGCACTCTGTCTTCTTTCATACCTACGCTCTCTTTCTCAATCGGTCAGTCACGTATCTTAAACACTCAGACGCATTTCTAGGCTTTCACTGTTCACTTGCATTCGGCTCTCTCATAAACATCCCTTACATTCGATCCTCTTGCACGCGGTCACTTTCGTTCTAAGCCCAAACACTGTTGACATTCTTTCAGGGCCGTACCTATTCCTTTCCTACGATATTGATAATAGATATGATCATTGATAGTAGGTATCATGGCTTACACGATCATGTTTACACTCTCGATTAAAAATGCAGCATTTTACGTCATCGTTTTGGCTGTCTGACTATGACACTTTTCTTTTAATATATAGGTAATCGATTTTTCGATATTTCTTTTTGTTCCATTTTTTGTTCTTTTTTAAGTTTCTTCTTACATTTTTCCATCCATTGGTTATTGGACCGGTTGTGGTAGTGCAGTGTTGGGGATTTTGAGGGAAGTGTGTATTTGATATTGCACAGGATGTATGGGAATATAATGTGATATAATATAAAATAATATCGTGGTATTTTGGAGACTAGAATTACGTTCGTGAAATTGGAGGTGTAACATGGAAAATATTATATACAGGGTGAGTCACGAAAAACAGGTCTATTAAATATTTCCTTTTAAATATTTAAATATTTATTTTTAAGACAGAGCTTCACTGTTTGAAGAGACGTATGGAGAGATAGGAAAAGAATTTGTTATGGTAATTATTATTTTCTTTTTTTTATGATTTCAAGGTCATCGATTTAATTTTTCTTTTAATGAAGTTATAATTTATTCTTTTCTTTTTAATTTCGAAGAACTATTACATGTAATGGAAACTGATTTTTATTACGAATTACCATTATTATGAAGGAAATTTTATATTAGTTATCGTAAATATGTTCTAATAAAAATATAAAAATAGGGTATCTTTTATCTTCCTTTTCTATGATTAATTTTATATAGTTGATGAATACTAATTACCTATAATAGAAACGAAAAATGATGATGGTCAAAAAAAATACAAATAAGCGTTTCTTGTTCATATCAGTTATCGATGGCCAAAATAAAATCCTCGAAACTAAAAACAATTTCCATGATCCATAGATAATAGTTATTCATAATTGAAAAATGTTTTAATTCTTGCTAATAGTTATAGCAACCAAAAAAATTGTAAGAATGGTAAAAATTTGAATTTTTCAATCATTGTATATTTTTGGAGAATTTTGTTTCTATTTAATAACAATTGTGTTACATACGAATAGAAATCAGTAATTTATTAACCATTTTTTCCGTTGAATCTTTGAAATAATTGATACTTTTTTATCTCTCTTCGAAACAAATATAAAACTGCTGTGCAAAAAGGTTTCTGATTTTTACTATAAATTTTTAATTTTAAATTAATTTATATTAAACGTTTACGTGTAAAAAGTATTTACTATAATAAAAATTTTCGGATAATGGAAAATTCAAATAACGAAAGTATAGATAATTATGATTCTATGATATTCTGTGTGATAGAATCATAGAATTGTAGCATATATTATAGAATTATAATATTCTGTATAAGATTCTGTAATATTGTGTCTTATTAATATTTCCGTTAATTAAATTTGAATTTGTAGTTCAAGGTCATCTCAACTTCATAGTATACTAGGTCGATGAATTCGTATTGACGTCGACATGATTCTATACTATTAGAAAAAAAATCACTTGTGACCTTGAAACAGTGTTAAAAAGAATGGTCTTGACAAATTTTCCCCCTATCGCCCTAAATATCTCTTCAAACGATGAATTTTTGGATACAGCGATAAATAACTGAAATTTTTAAGGGTTTTGTTCCTCGTGACTCACACTGTTTACAAGATAACGGTTAAAAATAATTTTTCAAATTTTTATTTTCTCTTATTATCTTTGCAATCTTTGGTTTATAATTTGTGGGATCTCTACTATAATATTATAGTAGAGATTATATATAGTAGTGAGTATTATATATATTATAGTAAACTCTACTATATCTCCACTATAATATTATAGTAGAGATTATATATAGTAAAGAGTATTATATATATTATAGTAATCTCTACTATAATATTTCTGCCTTCTTTAATTTTCATTTTTGGAATCTCGCATAAGCCGATTTTATTCGAATTTATTTAGTTCTTAAACCGAAATTTTTCTGTTTACTATCGACGAGATCATTGGCTATTTTATATTTTTCTAGCATTTTTGCCGTTTCTATCATGGTATTTCTGACAATACATAATCGCCTTACGCAAGAAGTAAGGACCATTTTCGCCATAGTATTCCTAACAATACATGTTATGCAAGAACTAAAGAAGTTGGGAAGAGGAAACCTGCTATTAAAATCTCTTTGTGTGTATAGGATTGACGTAAGAGCATGGTTTTCGTCTGATAAATTTTCTTCGAGAGGTTATGAGATTTTATATCACATATCTGGTACGTTCGTTGAATAATAAAACGGAATATAAAAGTGATCGTGAGATTGCTATAGATCAATAATCAGAAAAGCTAAGGTATTTTAGATTTTGGCAGACTTTTTGGAAAAGTCTCGCAAAAGATGGCAAAAATTTTGAATATTTCGATATTCAATTAAATCGTGTTTGAGTTTGCCATTTTGTATTTCCATTATTAAATTATTTGTTCTCTCGTCTACAATATTTGTAAAATTGAATATTTAGAAAGTATGGATTTAATTACTTCAAAATTCGTTTATTCGAACAAATTTCGAAAATTTGCTCGTAGTATGTTTAGAAATATAAATATATTCGAAATATCGATATTTAACTAAAGCGTGTTTAGGTTTATTATTCTTTACGTTGTTGTTAAAATTTGTGTATTTTTGCCAGCAATATTTAAAAATTTCGTAGAAAATAAAATAAATTAAATGGTTTAGATGTGTCGATATAAATTTATTATTTTTTACTTCTGTCAATGAAATTATTATTTTTATAACATTTATGAAATTCAATATCTGGAAAGTACAAATATTTAGTATGATATAATTAACCATTTATAGATTGTTATTAAAAAAATTAGCACGTGAATAGTTACATACAAAATCTAGTACTGAAAAATTTACTATGAATAGAAAAAGAAATTATTAAAAGAAATACTAGTTAAATAATATCGGAAACAGAATGTACATTTAATAAAAAACAAGTGAATAATCATAGAATAATTATTAAAATAATTATTAAAACGAAGTCGAATAATCGGATGTCAACTATATCTGAAATCTCGTTTATCCGAACACATTTTATCATTAGGGTAAATAATGAAAATTTTAGTATAGTATATCACATCATATAAATCTGTAAAAGGAAACCAATAAAAGTATAGATACATAGGAAACATTTAAATTAATTAAATTCTACGTATGTATATTTTATAGAAAAATAAGCTTTTTTTATAAAAAAAACTTATAACAAATTTTTTTTTTATAAAAAATACTTTTATAAAAAGAATATGCAAGTTGTATAGTGAAATTTCCAATATCAGATGACCTAGCATGCATTCCACTATCCAAATATTTTATTATCCGAAGTACATTTTCTTATTTGTGTTCTTTATTATCAAAGCAAATAAAGATGCAATTCATGCATCTTTCCTACAATTTGATATCTTTTCTACTACTGTAGTACGAAATTGATATTCCTAGCTCACCGAAAAACTCGAAAAAGTATTTGACCAATCTCAGTGATACTTATTCTTTCATTATTTCCTCATTAAAAAACAAAAATTTTAATTATTTTTTAAAAATTTTAATTATTTTTTTGGTTTTTCATCAAACTGATTTAACACCACTTATGCTTATATCGTAGCATTTTACACGTCAAAAGTTATACAACAGTTTTAGGTAATTTCGTATTACAATGTTTGACTGAAAATTTTTTTCTAGGGATAGTATAATAAAAGTGATATGCTTTATTACTACGAAGTAAAGAAGTTATAAGGAAGTTTTAATAAATGATTTCGACAAATTTTACAAAAAATATAGTTTTTGAAAAAATATTTCAACCGCGTGTATATATATATAATAATTTATATCTGGAGGATAAAAATAGCCTTCGAAATTGAATACAAATGACAAGAAAATGATTTTGTGTCAATTTTTGTAAAAAATATAATACAAGTTAATATTTTTTTATCGATTCATTTAATTATTCTCACACCCTAGATATAGATTACTATCGATAAACAAAAATGTGGGTGAAATATTTTTTCAAAACCTATATTCACCATAAATTTCATCGAAATTGATTATTAACATTTGGGAAACCTTTCTTGTTAAGTTGTTCGAGGAACAAATAGAATTATTAAAAAGTGTATATGGTTTAGCAGCAAAAGAAAATATGGCGTTCGTAAATAACAACAAAAATATTGCACTTACGCCATTGCTTAATATACCTTGTTTCTTGCAATTTCTATCCTATTATTTTTTTAAATATATAATAAAAAACAGTCTGATAATAAAATAATCTAGGTTATATAATACTTAATAGTGTTCAGAATTATAATAAATAATAAACAGTTACAATAGCGAATGATCTCTAATAGTAAGTATTTATTAAAAAAGTACCTCAATTGCATTATGCAAATGCATCAATACGTAAAAATGTGCAAAAGTAGTTCAGAAATTTAAAACATGCATTTTTTTCTCTATCTAATGATTTTAAAGATACAGCATCATATATTTGTATAGGTTAAGTTAGGTTAGGTTAGGTTAGGTTAGACGAGTATATTAGTATATTGTATATTACATTTTATTTTATTTACATATTAGTTTATTATGCATAATATTCTATATATTAGTATATTATTATATTAGTATATTTAGTATATTAGTATATTACATTTTATTGTATTTACATTTTAGTTTATTGTACATAATAAATTAGGTCAATGTTTTCTTCTTTACATTGCTCGCATTAAATTTTGAATCATTTTCAAGCAGATTGTTTATGGTCGTTTATACGATCCTGATAATGAAAATTAATTATCAGTAAAGTAATTAATACTTGTTTTTTTAAAGATTCTCGATACATATTACTTTGATACGTTAAAGATGCTAAAATAAAGGTGTTACTATCGATTTGCTTGAAAACAACACGCGTTTTTATAAACTTTTAATACGTGTTACGTTAGATACGTCCAATAAAAAAAGGAGAAAGAAAAAATTAATTAAAGGAAGGAATGCAGAAGTTCGTGATCTCGCGTTCGTGATCAATATTCCAAACCTTCTATTAGTGGACACAATGTTTGTAGAATAATATTGGAAATGGAAGAGAACGTACAACTTTATCTAAAAAAAAAAAAAAATTGCTAATTGCACTTGGCAAGTGCATCGTTGCAAATTGCATGACTCACCCTGTATTTTATCCACGCTTCATTAAAGCGTATCAAAGGCACGAACGTTATGGAGTGCCTTGTTTGAAAGTGCAGAAACTAAACCCTTTAGCGAAGAAGAATATGACTTCAGTTAACTGCTTGAGAATAATTTTGCGGAAAATCTCGCATAGTCTGATGTTCAAGCTTTTTTAAATAACATTTTAATTTTGTTTTCGCTTAGAGCTTCAAATATAGTATTATAACAAATATACTAATATAGCGTAATATATAATACGTTATTTATTACAATAGGTAATACAATATATTATTTATAATATTTGTATTTACTATCGTATTGCATTATATTATACACAATATAGTAATATTGTATTGCATATTACCAAATTATGGCTCGTAAACCATATTTAGCTCTTTTAGGAATGAAACACACACACGCTCTGTTTCTCTCTCTCTCTCTCTCTCTCTCTCTCTCTCTCTC